GAGTAGAAAGTTTTCTCAATGGATGATAAAGACTAAATAGAAGTCAGAATGTGGAGGAATTAGGAATATTAGCCTTAAGACTCTAAACTGTGTTGTGCATGTGCTGGGAAGCATTGAAAAATACCCAAGGTTTCATGAAAACCGTAATTGAGTTGTTGGCATTTTTTTTATATTATGGCTATAAAATCTAATGTAATCTCCAAGTACTCATAAACGAGATGATGCGAAAAATAAATGCAAGCCCAAAATATGTAGATTAATATCACCTGTGAAAACAGATGTATCTCAAGAAAATATTTATAGAAAAACTCCTATGATCTCTAAATGCCAAAGAAGTGATTTATAAAATTCAAGGTACATTCCCTAGAGAGTTTATAATGTTAGAAAATGTCCTTACCTTGGCATCACTGTGTGTGGTGATGCATACCTATAATCCCAGTACTTGGGAGGCTGAGACAGGAGGATCACTGCCAGTTCGAGGCCAGCCTGGGCTGCACAGTGAGTTCAAAGCCAGCCTGAACTATGTGGCAAATTTCTGTCAAAAAAAAAAAAGCCAAAAATGAAAATGTCCTTAACTTGATAAATGTATATTAGAAATTAGAAACCTGTATTTAACACTTGAGACATGGCCATTAAAGTGAGAAATAAAAGAGCATGCCAAAATAAGTAGCTGTTTTTTCCAAGATTCAAAAGCTGCTGTGCTGTGAGCTCATTTCCAATCCCTTCAGTATAGGCCATTGCCTTTTCATGCTCTGAAGTCCCAGCCTAACAGTGAGTTTGCCTCAGCCTCTGGAGTCTTTGCTAGGGTTAAAGCTCTCCCCCCAAAAAGTGCCTAAATCAAAGAAGTCTTATTTATCCAGCCTTAAATTTTAGTCTCCTTAATTGAACACTCTGAAATCCAATCCCAAATGTACTCCTTTGACCCCTGATAACATATTAGCTGATTTCAGTTCCTTCACTTGCAATCTTCTCTCCTTTAACAGGACCAACTGCAATCCCCACATAGATTATACTGAGATTTAAACCTAGTACCTTAGCTTCATAGGTGGGGAGGAAATAAGCAGTTGTAGAAGAGGTCTTCCTGAAAAGAGGGAAATATTTGCTCTAACTGGGAGGTATGAGTTTTTCCTGAAAGCTCTGAAAGTCCAGAGGTATCTATAATAGAGCCAAAATCCTAAGGGGTATCCATTCATATTTCAAAGTACCAGGCTGTCCTAGCCAGGGTTTTGACTGGTAGAGGCTGTGCTGGGCATTCAAATATCTTCAGAGCTCCATGACCATGAAATACCACTTCTACTCTTCCATTATAAGAAATAGCCTCTTTCAATAAGCTTTATTTCCCTTGTATCCTTCAGATACCTCAATTGTGAGTTTGTTTTTGTGGAGCTTTGTTTGCGGGATCTGGGGTTTTTTTGTTGTTTGTTTTTGAGACCGGGGGTTGCTAAATCATTAAATTACTTTTACCCAGGCTAAGCGTGAACTTGTAATCCTTCTCCCTCAGACTCCCAAAGTGCTGGGATTACAGGACAGGTGTGCACCACCACATCCAGTTCAGATGATTCAATTGTTACATAGCCAACATTAATTCTCCTTTTTGAAGTGTTTTCCTTAGAAGACAACCAGTGAAGTCTTCAGTACTGGGGTGGCCACCCTGTTCCAGTATTATGGCTTGTATGCCGATGTCCCCCAAAAGCTCCCTGTAGTCATAGGTGGGGTGTTTCAAAGGTGCCTGCTTCTAGGGTGTGATGCTGGGATTAAGGGTACCTCACCCTGGGTGTAGATGGCACCAATCAGTAGGCCTGCAGCCTGGACAAAATATAAATATAGCTTCTACTGTTTCATGCTGCTGTTTCCACTGCTTCTTTTCTGCTTGCTGCCTTCTACTTGCCACACTATGGACTGTTTCTCCTCTACAATGCCTTTCTGTCATGCTGCCCTGTGTTAGAACTAGACAACTATGAACTGAAACCTCTACAAACTCTTAGCTAAATAAACCTTTCCTTCCTTAATTTGTGGGTGTTGGGTATTCTGTCTCAGCAACATGAAAAATGACTAAGACAGCCAGGACTGAGTAAAGCCATTCCCAAAACACCTTATAGACTTTTTTCTTGCACAAACTGGTATAGCACCTATGTCAGTTTGTCTTCAAAGAAGCAAATGCCAAAAAGAGATTATAGTTGGCCTTCCATACTGGGTCCAGCATCTTCTAATTCAACCAAACTTGGATGGAAAATGATCGAGAAAAAATGTACTTGTGCTGAACATATACAGACATTTTTTAACATTAATCCTGAACAATATAGTATAACAAGTACTATGCATTGCAATGGGTATTATAAATAATCCAGGGCCAAGGATTTAGCTCAGTGGTTCTTCCCCACCTGCCTGGCAAGCACAAGGAGTTTGATCCCGGGTACAAAAAAAAAAAATAATAATAATAATAATCTAGAGAGTAAAGTATGCTGGAAGATGCACAGCGTTATATGAGATATATTCCATTCACATAAGAGGCTTTAACATACACAGATTGATATTTGTGGTGGTCCTGAAATCAGTCCTCCAAGTTATGGAAAGAAAGCAGTACACATTGTGTGTGTGCATACACACACACACACACACACACACATATACAAACACACATATACACACACATGTATATGAATATACATATAGACACATACATCATAGACTTATCTCTGGAACAAGACCGTATAGTTTGTGAGCTAGCTCCAGTGGCTGCCACCTGCCTTGCAAGCACAAGGTCCTGAGTTTGATCCCCAATACCAAAACAAAAAATTATTAAAAATTTAAAGACAGTGATAACAGATCAATAAAGCACATGACTCAGTAAGTTACATATCCATGAAGCTGGCTGTGATCTGACAAAGTGTACAGGAAAATGGTATGGTTGTGATTTCAAGAGAAAAACTGAGCAGCAGGGCACAGGAACTGAAAATAAACTTACTTTGTATAGTGTATCTCTGCCTTCTAAACTATGTACATGTCAAAGCATTACTTATCAGAACAAAACAGATCATGGATTCTTTGGGTAGTAACCCTTCAGATTTTTTTATGCCTGAAGAAAAGACACTCTCCTGGGGAAAACATTGGTTGGGGTATATTTCTGCTCTGAGACTTTAAGCAGTAAACCTGGTACTGTCCAGGGCCTTGCTGTGGCCTTCTATCCATGCATCTCCCGGTGGAGTGAGAAGCCCATGAAATCAAGGGATGTGTCTACACGGAGATAACTCTCCACTTAAAATTATGTACGGGACACCTTAGAATTCCCTTCCTAAAGGCTAAGCTTGCTTCCAGGATTTTCCCAGTCTTCTTCCCAAGATCTGTCCTCCTCATAGCCAAGAAGTGACTGTGGTATACCCAGGTAGCGTAGACAGGCCTTAGAAAGAAGGCTGGGGTATTCTCTGACACTGGATTCAAAAGTTTTCTGTGAGCCAGACGTAGTGGTGCCAGCCTGTAATTCTAGCTCTCGGTAGGCTGAGAGTGGTGGATCGCCTTGAGTTCAAGGCCAGCCTCCGCTACACAGTGAGTTTGAGGCCAGCCTGAACTACATAGGAGACCTTGTCTCAAAAAACAAAAACCAACCAACCAACCAACCAACAAAAAAAGGTTGCTGTGAAAATTTTCTCTGGCCCTTCTAAAGGTGTTTTCCTCTGGGCCAACATCAATCACAGCCATTATGTACCTTATAACGACTTAATTCAAGTATATTTTCTGAGATTCCTTATAAATTTAAAAATACTATAAGTCTAGATCGTGAAAATAGAAATTTTTTAACCAGGTGCCTTTTTAGCCTACTGGTGAAGAATGTTCACAACCAAAACAGATGTACATTTTGACAAACCCATTGATAAGTAACGACTACAACTCCCAAAATGCACTGCAGCCTCAACGTGAGCAACTTGCCAGTTTTTACCTCAGATCACTGGGTTGCAAAGAAAAGGCAGCTGAAAGAGGTGACGGGCTTGTCTATGTTTAAGAATAATAAAGGGACTGAAATAAATTATATGCTTTTGTGGCCCAATGCATAATGTGTATCCACTGTGCAAAGTGTGACGTTGAGTGCAGATTTTCTTTCCTTGCTCAGTGAACAAGTTGGAAAACTCAAGAACTGCCTGCCCGCAGGTATCAAAACAGTGTTCTTTAAGGCAGCTCTTCGCCGTTTCGCTCATTTTATCGACAGAACTATTCTCCAAGGTTACAGACAAGCACTGTATTTCATGAAGCCGAAACTTCGCCTTTCAATTACCAATTACTAAAAGCCCAACAACAAAACGCCTTGGCGGGAAATAGGGAATGGTCAAAACACCTCTGAAAGACATTAGAATTTCCTTGAGATTTTAAGTGTCCACGGAACATTTCCTGGACTTAACTGAAACAGGTTCTACAACAAGATTTAGTGGGTTTCGGTTCGACTGAAAGGGTTCCTTCAGCCCTTCGTCTTCACAGAAAGATTTAAACTTTAACTTTTCTGACTAGGCTGTCAGGGCGTTTCCATTAAGGGGTGCAAGCACCTTTCTTTCCCTTTTGCTCTTGGGTAGTGCGGTTCAAGGACGCCTACTTCTCTGTTTGGCTCTGCTCTTCCTCAGAGTGGGGTCCCAGCACTCAGGAACCTCCGCGCCAGCGGCCTTCCCCCTTCACGCGGCGCAGGGAAGAAAGCTTAGCTCGCGAGACCCTCCAACCAATCGAGATACCGCGCAGGAGGCGGACCTAAAAGAGAAGGAGTCTACTTAGGCCCGCCCACTTGGGTACGTAACGCGCTCCTAATTAGAGCCTAGAGCATCCTCACACTGAAAACGCGTGCCAAGGAGCTAGTGATGTGTTTTGGGCTTGTCAGCCGCCGTAGCCCCTGCTAGGGCAGCCCGTGTGAGTCTGCTGGAAGAGGAAGAGAAAGGCCGAGAGAGTCGAATTACAAGATGGCGGACCTGTAGTAGTCACGGCGGCGGCGGCGGCGGCGGCGGGAGAGCGAGCTTTGGGGGGCGAAGGGAGGGGCGGGGAGGGTGGGTGTGTGCAGGGGTGAAGTGAGAGGTAACGGACACTCCGAACGAAGGGGTTTCGGTAACTCTTGTCACCCTTTCTCGCGGCTGAACCTTTGTAGCCATGGTGAACTCGGGCCTCTCAAGAGCTGCCGCCGCCTTTGCCACCGCCGCTACGGTCTCTGAAGATTGAGGGTCCGGGACGAGGTGAGCGAGGAGGCTGCGGCCAGAACGGTAGGGTCAGCAGCTACCAACCATGTCAGATACACGACGACGAGTGAAAGTCTATACCCTGAACGAAGACCGGCAGTGGGACGACCGAGGCACCGGGCATGTCTCCTCCACTTATGTGGAGGAGCTCAAAGGGATGTCGCTGCTGGTTCGGGCAGAGTCCGACGGTAAGGTTGTGGGGACTGTAGAATAAGAGTGGTCGGCTTTCGTTGTGGTACAGCCTTAGGTTTATGCTCTGGGCCCTGTTAACTCTTAACACCACCTCTTGGGACAGCGCACTCGGCTTGGGTCTACTCTTCTGTGCAGTAAAAATAAACTACTTTGCTTGGATTTACCCTCAGTGAGACGCGGATTGTTTCCCCCGCCTCCTATCCCTGTTAAAGACTTGACTCCTTCATGTCCAGTCCTTCCTTTGAAGAGGTTCGCAGTGTAGGTGAAAGTTAGGAGGAAGTAGTAAGAGCTGAGATAAGGACCCACTAGCCCTGATGAGCTGACACCCCCCCCCCGCTTTCATTTACTTGTTACCCATTGAGGCTAGTACAAAGGTTTACTGAAACTTTTAGTGAGTGATTTTTTTTCCTTTTGAACTAGATTTTGGCAACGAGGCTCATGCTACAGTCTACTGTTGCTAGTGAAAACCAAAAAGGTGCCCCCCGCGGGGGGTTATTGCAGTCTGTTGCCACCATACATGTACATGCGAGCATGCCGTCTTTAGTCTGGCATCTATCCAGGCTGCCTTCTTAACAGGTGCCTTTATTTTATTTTTTTATTTATTTATTTGTTTATTTATTTTGGTACCGGGGATTGAACTCGGGTCCTTGCGCTTGCAAGGCAGGCCACCGAACCGCTGAGCTAAATACCCGGCCCCAGAAGGTGCCTTTAAAAAGTGGGTACCTCACTATCTAAGCAAGTTAGGACACCAAAGATTGTAAATCGTATCTGTCGATTGTTAGGATTCTTTCGACATATTTTTAAATTGTAAAATATATAGCTCTAAGTAAAACTTACGATATAATCAGAATGTCTCAATTTTGAACGACAAAGATGCAGAAAAATAGGGAAATAATCTTACATCTGTTGTAGACATTTTGTACTCATGCACTTTCCCTTTTCAATACACAAGGACATGTATGTCTACATGAGGTGTTCTTTGAGTTAGGAGTAGGATAAATTTAACACTAATTCATATATTGAGTGCTTAGAGTAGATCTCTGTCATGGTCCTTCACTATTTGTTGTATTTGATGGGAAATGAAATAAAACAACTTTTGTTAAAATAAACTTTGACTTCAGGTCGTTGTTTAGACTTCAAAATTTTCATTTCAATGAAACCAGTAATCTCATCTCATCTCTGAATGGTTTTCGGTGGATTTTTTTTCTATAAGGGTATATGGGGATTGGATGAAGTATTCTAAAATAAAGCCTATCTCTGAGGAAAAAATGTGAATTAAAATAATATTGATATTTCAGATGTTCGGCTGGGTGAAGCGACATTGGTTTTTTAAAATGTGTGTTCATTTATTTTATTCTGGGTTTTATAATTGTGAGACTGATACTTTTTTTTAATCTTTCAGGATCACTACTCTTGGAATCAAAGATAAATCCAAACACTGCATATCAGAAACAACAGGCAAGTAGTCGTTTATCTTTAATTTGAAAGACCTCATCTGTGATCAAGGAAGTATTAATCTGGCAAAGATGAGAATGCTTTCCTGACAAGAAAAAATGTTTGGTAAACAAAGCTAGAGACCTTGTGTATTCCCTAACAGGTTAAAAGTTTCACACTGAAAAGTGGAAGTTTTTGTACTGGCACTAATTTATTATCTTTGAAGTAAGCCACTGTTAGTTTATATTAGAATACAATGTATTTGTTAGTCTAAATAAAGTATGCCAAGTCTCATTTATATCTTGTACAGCAAACCTTTTATTCTGAATACATTTGAAGGAAATGATATAAAAGGAAATTCAAAAGGGATACTTTTTAAAGTAAGGAAAGCCTGTTCGCAAGGTGAAATTGAATCCTTTGACTCAAGTGAATTTTTGAATGAGCACTTAAGTCCTGTTATTTAATTGTTGTATTTTTTTTTTAATAATCAGTGGATACTTTAAAAACACATTGAAAATTGTGTAACATTTTCTGTTTGTATTTATTGTCTTATCTTGGAAAAGAAAACCTGTGTTGTGTTTTAATGTGCCTAATTAGTTAACCTAAAAACAATAGGAGATTCAACTTTTCTATTCTGTGAATGTTTTCATTTTTATTACGAAATATATCAAAATTAAAAAGTATAGAGAATACAGTGGGTGTTTGTAACACCACCACATTTAAGAATGTCAACATTATATTTGTTTAAAATCTTTTTGTAATATTGAACATTATTGATATAGTTAAAGCTCCCTTTGTATCCGTCCTATTCTATCTATTCTCTATCCTCCACATAGGTAACCCTATTTGAAGTTAATATGTATTCTTTTTGTACATGGTTTTATATCTTTTTCGGCATATGTATGTATTCATAAACAATATGTAGTCTTTTATGTTTAAAACTTTACACAACTGCTATCATCCTCTTAACATGTATTCTGCAACTTGGATTTTTCACTAATTTCGAAGATATGTTCATGTTATCAATGTAGATCTAGTTTTTTTTTTTAACACTGTATTGTATTCTGATGTGCTATATACACCTATTAGATATTTGGATTATTTCCATTTTGTGTGTGGTATATGAAGTACATATAGCAGAGATTTTGGAAGAAAAGGATTATTTTAGAATTATATTTATAACATCAAGCCTACTTTCAAGGTCTATGAAAATTTGAATGCTAAAAAATAAACACTACAGTTGAAGGAATAAAATTGTCTATTGGACAGCTTTTTAATAGGAAAAGTTTTTTACTATTAAAATAACTTAGTTATGTATTATATTCTCAGTTCTTCAAAATATTTTCAGTTTTTATTCAGTTAACAGGGTTTTTCCCCTTAGGAAATGATTTTTTTAAAAAAATTTTTGGTGAAAACTCAAACATTTTTTTTAAATTGAACACCCAAAGATTTTTTTTCCATACCTTAGACATTTTAAGATACACATTTAAGTAAATTTAATTTCTAAGTCATCCGTGAGGATGCTTATTCTGTCTCTGCACTGAATTTTACTACATAGCTAGTTTTGAGTTTTTTCTTTGCTTGCTTGCTCACTTGTAGAGAAATACTATTATTTTTGTCAATTTTTTTCTCTTCTTTGTGTGAATATAAAATTATCATGAAATTTATTTCTTTTTTTTTTAAAGGAAATTTGCTTCTTAAATGTGACTGTTATAATCATTTCCCTAAAAATTTAATTATAGATCTTCTCAGGTTGTTTATATCATCTTTTAGGTGTTATTACTATTAAAGAGATCACATTATGGTAGACATTTATTTATAAAATAGTCCCCCAACATGAGTTAGTGGTTCTGTGAATACAAATTTGGGGACATGCTTTCTTGTATGTTACTCTGCTAGAAAAAAGATGAATAACATTTTTGTATGCATTTAATATCTATAAAGTAGAGAAGAAAAACATACTTTAAAAATTTGTGCTGGGCCGGGGATGTAGTTCAGTGGTGCCAGTACCTGCCTGGCAAGTTCAAGATACTGAATTGGATCCCCAATTCCAAGAGCAAAAAAATATTTGTACTACCTGGAAATATTTTCTATAACCAGTCACTTATTCTGTTTGTGTTCTTAAGGGGTTGTTTTGTAGTGGTACTGTGCATTGAATCCAGAGCCTTCACAGTGAGGAACTGTATCCTCGGCTGTTTTAATTTTCATCAAGAGCCACGGTTTCATTAAGTACTAAGCTGCCCAGGCTAAGCTCCGATTTGCCATCTTCCTGTCTCAGCCTCCCAGAGTGCTAGGATTATGTGTGTGTGCCACCACACTCTGCTTAAATTTCTTTCTTTGCAAAGCAGTTTTTCTTATTTTCACCAAAATATTAGTTTGCATTTTTTATAAGTTACGTTAATTGGGACTTTGATTTTTTTATGTTCATTAGAATTATTTTTTGTCATTTGTGTTTTTCACTAGTCTTGTTCATTAGTGGATTTTTAATTAAAATTTAATTTTTAATGAAATGTTCATTAGTGGATTTTAAAAATTTGATGAATGAAGATATGTTTATAGGATATTTTGCTATATTAAAATACACTGCATAAATTCAAAGAAATGTTTAATATTCCTAACATTACAGTTTTGAAGTGAGCCAATTACTGAATTGTTTGCTCAGAGTGCATCTTATTTTCTTCTAGAAGTCAAGTACTGAATTATAGGCTTAAAATAGGTTAAGAATGAGTCAAGTTGAATGTCAAATGACTTGAGAATCAGATGTCATCATTCATTCACATTGCTTTCTTCCTTAATGTGTGTACTGAAGAAATTAATGGGGAAAAGATGTACTTTTCTAGTAAACCTGTGGCGTAATTAAACATATTTTGGAAAGAAATGAGAATGATTATACAATACAGTATGAAATAAAGTGCCTGATGTGTGTGTCAAATTTTTAAGTTACTTAAAATTAATCCCACTAATGTTGACCTAATCAAAAGCAGATTCATAGGGATATGCAGATATGTAGAAAAATTGTTTTTGAACACAGTTGTGTGTTAATTGGGTTTAGGAGAAAAGTACAGGGAAGTCTTCACCTCAGTTTTATTTAGAGACAAGATTATACATGTGAAACAATTACAGAATGATAATAGAGTGCTAATAAAGTGGTTTGACCCAGTCTTCGTTGAAGGCCCATGAAAGTTTCTCACACAGAGGCAACTAAAGTACAGAAAGGTTAAGATTCTCGACTGGAATCATACCAGGTGTATGCTAATAATAAGCAGCAAACTTGCATTCCACAGCCATTGGCAATAGAAAGTTAGAGATCAAAGAAACTGGTAAGAGCTAAAATCATTAAGAAAAACTCTACTTTTGGTGGTTTTTGTTGAAAGAACTGTGATAGGATAGGAAATAATACACCAGCTATGAAAAGTATTAAACCTATTTACAGTAGACATTTTTTTGAAAGCTTGGTTTGCTAAACAAAAGAGCTGTCACAGTTGCTTGTAGGGATCTAAAATGATGGAAATGGTATTGTGTTTAAGGAAAACAGTGTGACTATCTAATAAAAAGGACAGTCAGGTGGAGCAGAAGAGCTTTGGTTATAAGTCCTTTGAATTACTTAGATACAAAAAATTAAAGTCTTAAATTTGACAAGAAGCTAAACTCCGGTATAGTTTCAAGAAAGTGCTAGAATATTTGGTGAATGATTAGATGTGAAAGAGAAGGAATCAGAGGTCAGTAGTAGTGTTCTTGAGTCTGGGGCCAGGTGAATGGGAGGAAAAGTGGTAAGTTGAACAGGTTTACATTAATTATTTGGTTTGAGGCTCGTTTATTGAAATAAACTTTAGCTTGAATATATAATCATTAACATGATTAAAAATTCCAAAGATATTTAATGATGTCTCTTTCCCACCTCAGAGGCTGTCCATACCTTCCCTTCCTAAAGGCCATGCACATGACCAGTTTCTTATATATCTTTTTACAGGTATGCATATGTAAAGAGAAATGCACACCATCATATGT